CTAACCTGCAGAAGTTAATTTCGAGTTTACGAGCTTGATGAATATAAAGTGCATCGGTCATAATAAATCAAAAAAACAAAAGTGGATCATACACCAGATTGCCCGTGCCCGGACCAACCTACCAGATCGGAGGCAGCCGAGAATATTATGTAAAAAGGATAAGGAGGAGGGAAAAAAAAAGAATTAAATATCCCATGAATTGAGTGGTAGCTCGCACTCCATTTCCTCTGTACGAAGGTCTCCCACTCAAAATAAAAATAAAAAATATTTTAAAGTTTCATAAATTTTGTCGAGTTGACACGTATGTTTGTGGTAGTGCTATTTTCATGGATGTCAAGACGAGATTCCCACATTTTCCTTTTGGGAAAAAAATTATTGGACAATCACAATAAGCCAAAACATATGCTTTTACTATAAAACAGTAGTGTTAGTCAATATATACCCCCCGCTATAGGATATTATTGACAAGAAGTTCGAGAAAATCTAAAAAAACATAAGACAGAGGATTGAAGAAAGAAGAGAGGCACCACCAAAAATTGTTTCTTAGAAAAATGACATTGTATATCGGCGCTCAAAATAATAGACGAAATATATATATATATATATATATATATATATACACACACTTTTGTATGTTTAATATACAAAATTTATATGCTTTTGCGGATATTAAATATAAATAATTTTTGCCGCGAGCTTAAAGTGATCTTTACTCAAAGTTATTTGGTCCGGATAGAATCTTTCTATCGTAATTAAAGATTGCAGGTTCAAGTTTTAAAAATAGAAAAAAATTGATAGATAGCACTTTTATTAATTGATTTTACGTATTGCAAATTGAAATTAATCGATTTTAATACGACTACCAAGGGTGAAAAACACAAAAAAGAAGAGAGGATGTAACAAGAGTAGTATTATTTAGTGAAAATTATTGAACCAAAAATGTTTTCAATCGACACGAAATGCCACTGCTATGTTTTCATTGATAATGTAATAAGAACTTCAATTTGTCACGTCAGCTTCAGTAATATAATCAATTTTTCTAATAATTAATTATGTGAATTATTGTAGTGAAAAAAAAAAAATCTTCCTATGGCTCTTTCCCTTTTTACTTATTTTCTATGAAATTGGGTGACAGTAGTCCAAAATTGACCATTTCTTGGTTTGTTACCCGTTCATTTTATTTATTACTTTTCTTTCAAAAACGATTAATAACTTTGACAATTAAAACGTGATGAAGTAAGAGATCGACGTCATTTAGCTGTTTTCTCTAATTATGAGATTGGTTTATAAGATAATTTTTAAAAAACATATTCAACTATATATTGAATCAAATTTTACTACCATTTTCATAATTTAAGATAAGTTTTTGGTTCTATGCCTCTTACCCGCCAACTACTCAAAAATGACAAAATAATAATAATAATAATAATAATAAAAATAAAAATAAAAATAATTTATGTTGCATAAGAGTTGTCTCTTAAGCAGGGGTGAAGGCAAAAGCCGAGTTTTACATTTGCTGTGGAAGTGCGAATTTTGCCGAATTCAGTAGCTTTTGCTCAAATAGTATATTTATGTTAAAAATCATTAGATATGTACACATTAAATTTAGAACTCAATCATTAACATTTGAAGTCATCGTTCTAAAATTCATAACCCAAAAGGGCGAAAGTCTGGCTCAACATCTACTCTTCAAGATTTCATTTGCTGCTAAGGTCATTTTCTGAATCTATTTATTTGTATGCCGCTGATTAAACAATTACTTAATTAACCTATAGTTTGGAAACTAGAATCAATGACTAATCAATAAACGTGTAATGGTCAAGTTTTATTTTTTTATTTATATATTTCATAATCAGTAGATCTGTAATCAATACAATTATAACACCTGCAATTTTGTAGTCAACTAATCCCTCCAATAATATTATCTTATTCCTATTAAGGTTAGGCTAATCATTTTGACTGTGCTGTGCCATATATATTTTGTCTGTAATTAGTTACTGTGTGTTTATTTTATATTTGATAGTTGTCACAATACTTTTGTACTATACATGCAAGGTTTGAGGATTTAATTCACATTCAGAATTTTGCCTAATAAGGATTATAATTTTGATTACTTCTTAACTTTTACCTAATCAGGTTTGAAACCAAATTCAGTAGAGCTAAATTTAGATTAGGTTTATTCTACGTTTCAAAATATGATTAAATCAAATCTGTCTTATTTTGAAATTTCCAAATTGAGCCAGACAAAATCCATATAACAAACCATAAGAAAACATGAGCCATTGAATTTTGGCATCTCCCATTTTCCAAAGAACATAAATCATTCAATTATATATTAAGCTTACTATTCCACTATCAACTCACCCTTTCATTATACTAAGGAGTCTTTAGAGACATTAGGATCCATTTTTTTGTCAAGTAGGTTTCAATATTGGTTAGTTATAGTTCAATATTATTAGAAAAATAAAATAGGAAAAATTATGCGATACTACAAACATATACATTGTATTTACTATTCGTAGTTATACTTTCAGAAAATTACCATTTATAGTTATATTTGAATTTTATAACAAATCCACGTGTAGTACTGAAACAAAAGATTAGTTGTTTTAAACGAAACAAGAGAGCAACAAGCTCTCATAGCTTAATTAGTTGATTAATTAGAGTGCCTGCTTATTAAGCTTAAGTCTTGAGTTTGACTCTCAATGAGAGCATTCTATCTTTCTGTATTTAATTATATCTTTTGCTTTGGCTATATTCGTTGCACGAACGAATACAGTTGATACAAGTTATATTCGTTGCGCGAACGAATGCAGTTGACACATATCTTATTCGTGTTAGGTATGATAATTAGGCTCTAAACAAATTCTTCAAGAAAATAATCTTCATTATCATCCAAACAATATCATGGGAATTGACCTTGGAGCAAGGGTAAAGTTGCCTTTGTATGACCTTATAGGGCACAAGTTCAAATGGTGGATCAACCACTATATTTGTGTTAGGGTAGGCTGCCTACATCACATCCTCTTGGGCGGCGATCCTTCCGCAAACCTTACGTGAATGCGAAATACTTTGTGCGCCGAGTTGCCCTTTATCCCAACAATATCATGGATTCAATCATTATGCTACTATTCTACAATAAGTTCAACCTTTCATTATGCTTAGGAGATGAATCATTTTATTTCTCAAGACTTTTGAGAGACTATAGGAACCAATCATTGTTAAGTAGGGTTTCCATATATTAGCTAATTCAAAATTATTAGAAATAAATTAAGGCCATAAAGTCAGCACTAATGTCGCTTAGTAGTAATTAAATTCAGAGCATGATGTATTATTTGTGAAAAAGTTGATCTTTCGGCGATTCCTCTAGTTTTATGTTGTGGGTCAAAATAATTATGCCAAAGAAAAAATGCTTGCAAATCAGTTGAAGATACGTGTTAGCAAACAAAATACACGTTTAATTGTTGTCTATTTGCTTTAATCAAATCTTTCATTTGTACATTTTAACAAAAACTGTCGTTGAAATGACCTAAAAATGACCAAGTCACAAATCTTTATCGTTTTGCATTTTACAATATGGGGTTCAACGAAAAACACCAGATCAATTAGGTTGAGTTACTTCACTGACTTTATCA